AGGAGGCTATAGCTCAAACTGAGCACCTGCCTAGCGAATACAAACCCTAGTCCTATCAAAACTGGACAAATAGCAACACAGCCGGGCATAGTGGCTCACACCTATAATCCTAGCTACTCAAGAGGCTGAGATTTATGGATAGAGGTCCAAAGCCAGCCAGGGGAGCAGGAAAGGCCATGAGACTCTTTATCTCCAATTAACCTCCAAAACATCACAAGCGGGCTGTGGGTCAAGTAGTAGAGAGCTAACTTTGAGAGAGAGAAAAAGAAAAAAACCTCGGGGGTAGCACCAGGCCCTGAGTTCAAGCCTTACCTTTTAGGACATGCGCACGCGCACGCATGCGCACATGGCTCTCTCCCCAAGTACCCGGGAAGAAGGGGGACTACATTCCTGTCCTGCGTGCACGCATGCGCACATCGCTCTCTCCCCAAGTACCCGGGAAGAAGGGGAATTACATTCCTGTCCTGCACAGTCTGCCTTCCCGCAGCACTGGGGCTGTCCCAGGCCCCCTCCTGTTGGGCCTCCATCCCCCTGGAGGGAGGGGGAGAGGGGCTTTCCTCTGCGCATTATTGCTCCTTTTAATTGTTCCTCCTGCCAAGGGAATGACATCAGCCCCTCTGCTGACCATCAGGCCTCACCTTGAGCCGGGGCCATCTCCGAGCCGCAGACTCCTGGCACTATTTATCACTGTTTTCCAACATGGCAGGAAGGGGCTATGTCAATGTGAACCCCAACTCCCCTCCCGCGGGCTCTGGGGGGCTTCCCGCTGTGTTATTGTAGCGACACCACATTCTGCCAGCCAGCGGAGGTGGCACTGGCTGGTTTTCAGCAAACCTTCGGTTTGCTACAATTTATGCCTTGATTAAAAATGTGCTGTCGGGTGAAGCACACTAGTTAGTGGAAGGTTATTTGTTAATTAGTAAAACAAATCAGGTCAAATGTTGCTCATAAAGATTTTGCATGTCTGCAATTCTGAAATGGCTTAAATCTGGCTTCCGAAGTAACACTTTTGTTAAAGAATCAAAGCAAGATGGAATCCACATTGTCTTGGGCAGGTTCTAGAAGCAGTGGTAGGAAAGACTGTTTTTTTTTTTTGTTTTTTCTCTACTATTTTCTCCACAAAAATCACACATCATTGCCAGGCGCTGGTGGCTCATGCGTATAATCCCAACTCCTCGGGAGGCTGAGCCAGGATTATCACAGTTCAAAGCCAACCTGGCCAGTAAAGTCTAAACTCTTATCTCCCTTTAACCACTAAGAGGCCAGAAGTGGATCTGTGAGTCAAGTGGTAAAATGCTAGCCTTGAGGAAAAAAGCTCAGGGAGAGTGCTCAGATCCTGAGTTCAAACTGGCACATGTGCACATGCACACTCACACACACACACACACACACACACACACAAATCACACATTATAAAAATAATTCTTCGGGGCTGGGAAGGTGGCTCAGAGGTAGAGTGCTTGCCTAGCATGCATGAGGCCCTGGATTCAATTCCTCAGTACCACATAAATAGATAAAGCTGGAGTGGCGCTGTGGCTCAAGTGGTAGAGGACTAGCCTTGAGCACAGAGAAGCTCAAAGTCAGTGCTCAGGCCCTGAGTTCAAACTCCAGGACTGGCAAAAAATAATAATAATTCTTCATCAGTACCAATGGTTGGCTGCCCCTCCTTGGCTTTTATTTTAACGTGAAAGGAGAAAGACACCTGCCCTAGGAAGGCTTTCCCTTCAAGACCCTCAACCTGTCCCTAAAATCACACCACAAGTTGTTCATCTCCATTAGTCCTTAGTGGCACAGCCCCCCTGCCTCCCTTCAGGAGAGCTGCTGCAGCATGAGGCAGAAAGTAGCTGCTCAGTAAACATCTGCGTTCCGGAACTGACCCAATGCTGTTCAAATATGTTCTATTTGTGTGTGTGTGTGTGTGTGTGTGTGTGTGTGTGTGTGCGCACGCGCGTGCGCGCCAGCACTGGGGCTTGAACTCAGGGCTTTGCACTGTCCCTTAGCTTTTTCACTCAAAGCTGACACGCTCTGACAATGTGTGCAGCTGACACCACTTGAGCCACAATCCACTTGTAGTTTTTTTGGTTAATAGGCTTTTCAGCCTAGCTGGCTTCAAACAACAATCCTCAGGTCTCAGCCTCCTAAGTAGCTAAGATTACAGGTGTGGGCCGCCAGCATCAGGCTCCTGTGTTTATTCTTAACTGGCTTCCATCCGCAATGGCTTCTGGTGCCCTCAGGAACTAGAGGAGACGGATTCTAGCTCTTATTTTCTTCCTGGAAATCACACAGCGCCTTTAATCCATGTCCATTGTTCCCAACCTGCAACTGTGTATCTTCCTACTTATTAATCGTAATAATAATAATGCCCACTGTCACGCTCAGTGTGTGCGGGGCCCTGCGCGGGTGTGCATTGCCTTCCGGCCTCACCACGCATCCCTGCACTGCAAACCAGGCACCCCGAGCGGCCCGGCCGACGTCCCCAGCATGCCTCAGATTCCCAACCAGACCAGAGGTGGCGTCACACTGATCGTGGCAGCACAGCTGGCCTGCATCAGAGAAGAAGCTTCCGTCCCCACAGGACTCCTGTGGTTGCCAGAGACAGAGAGATAGACAGAAAGATAGAGACAGAGAGATAGAGAGCGAGACAGAGAGAGAGAAGGAAATTGGGGTGCCCTATGGGGAGAAGCCCCAGGATCTGGCCTTCACTGGGCCGCAGGGGCCCCCGGCTGGCTTCCACCCCCCTGGGTGCCGCCGACAGCGTCTGCTCTACCCCTGCCACGAGGCCACCAGCTCGCCAGCACAGACAGCGGCTGGGCAGCTTCTGCCAAAACAAGGCGGGGTTCCTGGAACCCCAGGAACCTGCTCTCCTCCCTGCCCCCTGCCCACCTCGCGTGCTGGGATTGGAAGAAGGACAGCGACAGTGGGCGTAGAAACTTAAATCCGTACAAACAACCCAATTACTCATCAATGGCGAGACGTAGTTATGTCGACCTCAAATGAGTAAACCGTAGAGATTTCAAGTACGAAATAAAATAATCTCATAGGAACTGCAGGCAGCTCAGGGCAGGAGGCAGACTAGAAAAGGAGAGGAAGCCGGCGTGTGAGAGCTCCCAGGGGCACCCCCCCCCCGTACCCCCTGCTGCTGGCAGTGGACCAGTTCATCAAGGTGCGCAAAGCCGGGTGTGGTAGTGCTCTCCTGTAGTCCCAGTGAAGCACGCAGCGATGAGTGGAGGAATTCAGATGGGGAGCTGGAGCGGGCCAGGCCCCACCGAGCAGAGCACACGGTGGACACAGCTGTGGGGGGAGGGGGAGGGGTGGGGGGGGAGGCAGCCACTGTCCACGTGCCACAGGAACTGGGGGTGGCGGCTCCTGCCTGCCAGGCCAGACTCGGTGAGGCCAAAACAGCAGAAGACCTCTGGGGTCCTGCCAGGAATAAACAGAATCGCCTCAGCCTCCCTACCCCACCAGGTGGGGCTCTGTCCTCGCTTGCTCCCATGGTTAAGAGGTTAAGGAGGGAATGAAAACCACGCGCATTTCCGTACCGGTGGCCCTTGGCAGGCGCTGTATACACGTTAAGTGTGTGTCACGTTTTTATTATTAAAAGACAATTTCAGTCTGGGCACTGGTGGCTCACGCCTGTCATCCTAGCTACTCAGGAGGCTGAGTTCTGAGGATGGCGGTTCAAAGCCAGCAGGGCAGGAAAGTCCATAAGACTCTTACCTCCAATAAACCACTCAGAAAACTGGACGTGGCGCTGTGGCTCAAGTGTCTTGAGCTGAAGAGCTGAGGGACAGCACCCAGGCCCCCAGTTCAAGCCTCATGACCGACAATATATATATGAGTTGAGCTAGAATCCAGCCCCAGGCCTGCCCGGCATCTGTCAGCAGCACATACGCGCAGCAAAGCAGGGCTCTTGAGTAGAACTTTCAGGAAAGCCTGTGGGGTGGCATGAGGGACACAGAGCCAGAGCGGCCCAGCTCCTGTCCCTCCTGCTCCTGCAAACAGCCGACTGCCTGGTTGCCCTGTGTCTGGATGGGCAGGGACATCAAGGGAAATGTCACCTGTGAGGTGCAGGGGCCAGGGGCAGACTCGGTGACGTCCTGGGGACAGAAGTCTCTCAGATCTTCCCAGTGCCCGGCTGGTGGTCAGGCAGGCGGGCGGGCAGGCAGCCGGGCGGGCAGGCAGGCGGGCGCACCACAGCTAGCAATCACCACATAGGCCCTGGCCGGCCACGATCACCGCGCGGCTACCTGACTCCAATATCAGTTCTTAACAATCAGCCGTGCCTTGGGCAGCCTCTGCCTTATTGGTGAGAGCAACATATTTGCCTCTAGCCCCTGCCCACTACAACAACGTGTGTGTGTGGGTGCGCGCACGCATGCGCGTGTGTGTGCTGGGGCTTGAACTCAAGGCTTGGGCACTGTCCCTGAGCATTGATTGTTCGAGGATGGCACTCTACCACTTAAGCCATCTCAGGCTTTGAGGTGGGTGGTTAACTAGAGATAAGAGTCTCCCAAACGTTCCCGTTGGGGCTGGCTTTGAACCACAATCTTCAGCTCTCAGCCTTCTGAGCAGCTAGGATGACAGGCGTGACCCCCCCCCCCCATGTCTGCCTCATGCCACCATTGTCAGCGAACCACATCCACTCAGGACTGACCTCTGGTCTGCGTTATTGACAGGACTGAATGTGTGCAAAGAGAGGAGTCACACCAAGTTCTCAAGTTTTCCCAGCGGCTCCACCTGCAGACAGACTCAGGGCTGTGAGGGAAACAGGCAGCCTTTGGCCTGGTGTGTGTGTGTGGGGGGGGGGGGGGGGGGGGGGGGGGAGGGGAAGAGGGAGGTTGGAGAGAAACCAGGCCCCGTTTTCCAAAGCGTCGTGCCCCCTCTAGTGGCCATGATCTGAACTGCGACACCCAGGATCCACCGTGTCCCATCCAACAATGGGACTTGATTGGTCTTTGGGAAAATAGATGAACTTTCACTCCCGCTGAACTGATGGGTAATTCCTTGTCACACATGACTTTAATCAAGTTATATGCAGGAAGGGTGTATCATGGTGGAAGGGGAAAAAAAGTCTTAACATGAATTAAGGCATTGTGCCAAAGTAAAGCTACACCTTGAATCCTTTTCAGAGGACTTCAAAGGCAGCATGTACCTGGAGGGAAGGGGAGATTTGTTTGGGTTGAGCAAGAAAGGGCTTCCTGCAGCCCAGGAGACCGGATCTGGAGTGTGTGCAGCGTGTGGGGCTGCCAGCCTTCCTCAAGCAACCTGTTTTCAGGACAGGGGTCAGCTAATCGAAACCCTGATGCATGGCATTGCCCTGCAAATCCACCAGGACCGAGAATGAAGGGAAGTTGAGGCTAGGGGCAAAGCTGGGGCCACTAAGCCTGAGACAGATGTCAGGGCGAAGTTGGCAGGGCCCCCTCAGCACCTGCCCCTGTGAGACAGGACCCAGGTACCACTCCAAGAAGGCCTCCTCCATCACTCCCGTGAGGGAGGGGGTGGGCTGCTTCATTGGCACATGGCCCAGGGAGCATCTCACAACTCACTAGCGAAGCTTTTTGGTCCCTAGATTTTGAACGCTTCATAGGCAGGGAAGAGAGATCTTCATAACCCTTACGCCAGGGCGCCATGGATGACAATGGGTGCCCAATCAATGCTCTCAAAGGTGTGGGAATGTAAGGGTTAATTCATGGGCAGGCAATGTGGTGGTTACAGCCAACAGAGTGGCCTGTTACCTTTCTTTTTCTTCTTTGAGTGTGTGCTGACACTGGGGTTTGAACTCGGGGTCTTGTGATCTTGCTTGGCTTCTCTGCTCATGGCTGGCCCTCTATTCTTTGTGTCATGCCTGTATGTCCGGCTTTTGGCAGGTTCATTGGAAATAAGCATCTCACAATCTTCTCTGCCCTGGCTGGCTTCAAACCTCAATCCTCTGATCTCAGCCTCCTGAGTAGCTGGGATGACAGACATCTTAAGAATAGCCACCTGGTCTACTTGTCCATCACTGTGGAGGCTCTCCCCTGTTTAAAGCAGATTTCTTCCTGTCAAAAGTTCATAGCAGGGTGAATTTCCCAGACAGAAACCAGAAGAATGGAGAGTGACGAAATGCCCGGATAGACAGTCCACGGCAGGCTGGCTTTTCCTCCAGCAAACACAGTGGCTCTGGGGGACACTGGGCTCTTTGTCCCGCTGTCACAGGGGAATGGGCCCCCTCTGAGGGAAGCCAGCCAGAGGGGAGGGGGCTGCCGGTGATGAAGACTGAGCGGGGTCACGGTACACCTTGGCATTGTGGGGTGCCGTGACAAGGCCAGAGCTCTCAGGTGAAATGAGTACAAGCGGCGCCATCTTTTCAAAAGCCCCTGCAGTGGGCTGGCTAAACCTCGGCGGGCTAGGGACCGTGGGAGGGTCCTGGTAGCACCTGAGACGTAACATCCAGGAGAAGCTTTGGAAGCTTATTATTGCTAGAGGGTCACTGGCTGCCAAGGTTAGAAGGTGCCAAGGAACTGAAGAAAGAGAAAGAAAACTCCAGGATTGCACAGAAGGCAACTGACTAGGGACTTACAGACACAGACATGCCCTGAGAGGCAAGATCCACACCCCGAGGGCGGGAGGAAGCGAGACACAGGTGGGCTGCAGCCAGGTACAACGACATACCTACCTGGACTTTCCCCAGAGCTGTTCACCTGCCCAGCGTCAGTCATGAGGAGCCTGGGGTTCATCTGGGGTTCACTGGCTAGCATGGAAATGCTCAGCCGACTCCAACCTAATGACTTGTGCAGAGTGAGCCAGGGTTAACTCATGGGCGAGCAATGGGGTGGCGGCAGCCAGGATGGTGGCCATCGTGCCACGCTGAATCTCTGAGATTGATTGGTCATGTCTAGGAACTGTGAACACATAAATTGTACACTTTAAGGAACAGGTTGTTTGGTGTACGAAGCGTCCCCAGCCTCCCCTCCCCCACCCCCAGCCAGATCCAGGGACAGGGGACACAGCCCCCGCTTCTTGGACTGCCAAGGTCACCATATCTAAAGAGCTGGTGGCACGGGAGAGGGTGCTGTGGCCTGGGAAATGCCGTCTGCCACAGACACGGGTGACAGTTCTCTGCTCTGTGGCAGCTCTGTGTGGGAGAGACCAGGAAACTTGTCACTCAAGCCGTGCACATCTAACACCCATGAAAGATGTCAATGGGTTTGGGTTTTTTTTTTTTCCATTTGTTCCACTCATGCTTGTTTTCTTCAGGGAAGGGGACTGCTTGGGGGCTTTTCTGTGCATGTGCACATACTAGTCCTAGAACTTGAACTCAGGGCCTGGACACTATCCCTCAGTTGTTTTTTTCTTCACAAAGCCAGTGTTCTGACACTTAAACAATAGCTCCACTTCTGGCTTTTGGGAGTGATTATTGGAGATAGGAATCTTACAGATTTCCGGGCCCAAGCTGGTCTTTGACCCCTCCCCCTCCATTCTCAGCCTCTTGAGTAGCTAGGATTATAGGTATGAGCCTCTGGTGCTCAGCTCAAGTTTGTTTTGTAACAATAAAGTGGCTAAATACAAGATCATAAGGCCTTAGATCGAGAAAATAATTCTCAAAAGTCATTATATCCAACCAGGCATCCGTGGCTCATGTCTGTAAGCCTAGCTCTTCAAGAGTCTAAGACCTGAGGATCAAGATTCAAAGCCAGCCAGGGCAGGAAAGTCCATGAAACTCATCTCCAATTAACCACCAAAAAGCCAGAACTGGAGCTGTGGTTCAAGGGGCAGAGTGCCAGCTTTGAGCAGAGAAGCTAAGGGACAGAGCCCAGGCCCTCAGTTCTAAGCCCAGTTACAGTAGCACCAAACCAAACAAGCCAACAGAAGCTTTCCAAGTGAGTGTGACACTCACCCTTTTGACCATTGCAGTCAGACATCTTGTTCTACAGCTGGTAAACTGAGGCTCGGGGTGCACGTCCCTCCCCCCCCAGTACCTTTCCTCTGCGTCTGCAGTGATATTGTCAGTTTATTGGGCTGAGCTGTTTAAAAGATACACATTGAGTCACGAGAGCTGCTGAGGGACACAAGGCGAGTGGCTCCCGCAGATCACAGCAGAGCCTGGCCAGTCCACCGGCCTCGGTGAAGGTGCCACCCAGGCCAGAGATCAGGGGACACCACCAGCTCAGGAGGTCCCCAGCCCGTCCCCCACCCCCGAGATGTTGCTAAGGCCTTTCCAAAGAGGAATCATCTAAGCATGGGCCCAGCACCCAGGTGCGATTAGCGGTGGTGAGAATCGTCAGTGGTGGACATTTTCAAGGTGGAAAACGAGGTGTGGATGAGACACGGTCCGTGCATTGGAAACTGTGGAGACAGACAAAACCTATTAGCAGGGGCTGATTCGCCAGGAGAAGAGTGGACTGCAATGGGTGACAATGGGTAGAAGCTGTACATGTGCAAGCAAAACCCTAAAACCTTCCCACCTCAGAACAACAAAGAAATGGCCAAAAGCCCGCTCCTGAAGTACCACCAACCTCAAGAGATGCATGGGCTGAATTACCCAAGGCAAAGTAAGGCCATATAGTGACATGGAGATCAAATGTAAACCCCAATGGGGGGCGGGGGGGGCGGGACCCACAGACTCTAACTGCCTAGGGCATGTGTGCCCATCAAGCCCCTGATCCTGTGAGATCACCTACCAATCTGGCTTTCTTATACTTCTCTTCCACTCGTGGGCTGGGACAGGTGAGCGTGTTTCTCCGTGGCCAGTGCCCTCTTTTCTGTGCTGTGTCAGCTCCGGAGGGCTGCGCACTGGCAAGGGCACCCCCCAACCTCCACCCTGCGAAAGCCTCAGATGGGCACAGTCAGCACCCCCCCCCCCCCCACCGCCCCCTGAAAAGAGCTGCCGGGGCGGTAGCAGCTCAGTTCTGGAGGAAACACAGAGTCTTCCGGGATAGATCACAGAATATTCTCCAGCTAGGAGAAAGGGAAGTTGTTCATGAACTGTGATAATAATCTTCAATGGGATTACACTATTAGTTGAGGAAGAAAGAGAAGAAAAAGGAAGATAGAAAAAGAAGGAAGGAAGGAAGAAAAAAAGAAAGAGGAAGGAAGGAAGGGAAAGAAAGAAAGGGAGTAAGAAGGAAGGAAGGAGGGAGGGAATAGAGAGGGAGAGAGGAAGGGAAAAAAGAAAGAAAGAGAGAGAAAGAAAGGAAGGAAGAGAAAGAAAGAAAAAAGGAAGAGAAAGGAAGGAAGAAAGGAAGAGAAAGAAATGAAGGAAGAGAGAGAAGGAAGAAAGGAGGAAGGGAGGAAGGAGGGAGGGAGGGGGGAGGGAAGGAGGGAAAGAGGGAAGGAGGAAGGGAGGGAGGAAAAGAGGGAAGGAGGAAGGGAGAAGGGAGGAGGGAGGGAAGGAGGAAAGGAGGGAGGGAAGGAGGAAGGGAGGGAGGGAGGGAAGGAGGAAAGGAGGGATGGAAGGAGGAGGGAGGGAAGGAAGAAGGGAGGGAGGAAAGGAGGAAGGGAGGGAGGAGGGAGGGAGGGAAGGAGGAAAGGAGGGGGGAGGAAGGGAGGGAGGGAGGGAGGGAAGAAGGAAGGGAGGAAAGGAGGGAGGGAAGAAGGGGGGAGGAAGGGAGGGAGGGAGGGAAGAAGGAAGGGAGGAAAGGAGGGAGGGAAGAAGGAAGGGAGGGAGAGGAGGAGGAAAGGAAGTAGGGAAGAAAGGAGGGAGGGAAGGAGGAGGGAGGGAGGGAAGGAAGGAGGGAAGGAGGAAGGGCGGGAAGGAGGGAGGGAAGAGGGAGGGAAGAGGGAGGGAGGGAGGAAAGGAGGGAGGGAGGGAAGGAGGAAAAGAGGGAAGGAGGAAGGGAGGGAAGGAGGAGGGAAGGAAAGAGGGAAGGAGGGAGGGAGGGAGGGAGGAGGGAGAGAGGGAGGGAGGGAGGGAGGGAGGGGAGGAGGAGGGAGGGAGGAGAGGAGGGAGGGAGGGGAGGAGGAAGGGAGGGAGGGGAGGAGGAAGGGAGGGAGGGGAGGAGGAAGAGAGGGAGGAAGGAGGGAGGGATGCTTCCATTTCTGTAAACAAGAATGAAACGTGATACCTAAAGATAATAAACTTAAAGTGAAGCAAAGAGTGGAGCGTGAAACCTTGCGTGGAGCCCGGACTCCTACTCACTCGACAGGCGGAAGCTGTTAGATCGCGGTTCCAGAACAGCCTGCGCGGGACGTGGGGGAGCCGCGTCCCACCGAAGCGCGGGGCCCGCGGCCCGCGCCTGCCGCCCGGCCTCTGCGGAGGCGGGGAGGCCGGGGGAGGACCTCCGTCCGGGCCGCCCGCGGGGCACGGTCCCCAGCGCCTGCCGCCCGGCCTCTGCGGGAGGCGGGGAGGCCGGGGGAGGACCTCCGTCCGGGCCCACAGCGGGGCCCGGTCCCCAGCGCCTGCCGCCCGGCCTCTGCGGGAGGCGGGGGAGGCCGGGGGAGGACCTCCGTCCGGGCCCACAGCGGGGCCCGGTCCCCAGCGCCTGCCGCCCGGCCTCTGCGGAGGCGGGGAGGCCGGGGGAGGGCCTCCGTCCGGGCCGCCCGCGGGGCCCGGTCCCCAGCGCCTGCCGCCCGGCCTCTGCGGGAGGCGGGGAGGCCGGGGGAGGACCTCCGTCCGGGCCCACAGCGGGGCCCGGTCCCCAGCGCCTGCCGCCCGGCCTCTGCGGAGGCGGGGAGGCCGGGGGAGGACCTCCGTCCGGGCCCACAGCGGGGCCCGGTCCCCAGCGCCTGCCGTCCGGCCTCTGCGGAGGCGGGGAGGCCGGGAGAGGACCTCCGTCCGGGCCGCCCGCGGGGCCCGCGGCCCGCGCCTGCCGCCCGGCCTCTGCGGGAGGCGGGGAGGCCGGGGGAGGGCCTCCGTCCGGGCCGCCCGCGGGCCCCGGTCCCCAGCGCCTGCCGCCCGGCCTCTGCGGGAGGTGGGGGAGAACCTCCGTCCGGGCCGACCCAGGCAACCGCCGGCCCCGACCTGCGTCCGGAACGACCCGGGCAAGGCTGGGTGCCAGGCCCTGGGGAAGCTTGCGAACGGCCCGGAGACTCGCTCTGCCAGGGAGGGGCGCGCACGGGGCCGCGCTGCGCCTCACGAGGGAACGGTCCCGGGCCGTGCCCGCGCGCGCCGAGGGCACCCACGGGCCCAGCCGATAGCGCGGCCGGGCGCGAGCGCCGGCCGCGGCGGGGTGCCCTCCCACCTGGCCCGGGTACGTGGTTTCCGCGGGGGTCCAAAGGCCTCAGGCCAAGGCGGTGCTTTCCTGGCTTCTTCTTTTCCACCGGAGTCTTGCAACTAAACACACGACCACAAGAGGGCAGCACGAGGCCGCACTCCCGCTCCGCGAGGACCATGGGGAGGAGAGCGAGAGGCGCAGGGTGAAGCCCGGGATAGTTGTTGATGGCCGCGCATTTCAAGACCTCCCCTCTCCATAGTAACGCGCTCCTGGGGGCACGACTGGAAACAGTGGATATGGTATAGATATAATATAGTACATTTATAGTATATATTATTAGGTCATATAGTTTAGATTATATAGCACATTATATATTAATATATGGATGAATGTGTATTACTTATATAGTATACAATATATCATGTCAACTATATGTGTTACGTATTTGATATTATGTATATGGATGCATAAAGGTGCAGAGCGCAGCAGGCTAGACGCATAAACTGAAGAAACCTGAGCCTTTTGCAAACTACAACCCCCACACAAGGCTAATAATAAGACAATTCACATCCAAGGGGTTTCTTAGTGACAAATGCAAAGGGAACTTCCGGTCTTCAGCAGTGCAGTTAATGTGCCTGTAGTTTTGTGGGGTCTGGAGGAGGTCTGGAAGACAGGAAGAGGCACAGGTGCCACACGCAGGTGTTTTATTGGTTGCCCCACACAGAGTAGAAGCAAAGGAAAACTGAGCCTTATTTAACGTCAGAGAATCTTGTTCATTTTACCTAGCTGGTAGCTGGGTGTCCTGAGAGAAATGAATGTGTCTCACTGAGCTGCCCTCTTTTTCTCTCTTCTGGGGAAATAATTCCACTACCTACTTCTGGCCTGGGGAGGTGGAGCAGGAAATGAGCTCTCTGGCACGCTGTGGATGTCAGGCTGCCGTAAGGCTACACTAACGGCACTCAGTTTTAAGAGAATCAGCTATGTGCTGTGGGTTATGAATTGGGCCCCTGGTGAGATTACTGATGAGATGCCGGGGAACCTCTCAAGGGGTTTTGTACTCAAATGAATTCATGAGAAGGGCAGGGTGTGGTGGTGAGTGCCCACCATCCCAGCACTTGCCAAGCCAAGACACAGGCTTGAATTCAAGGCCAGCCTGGACTGAACAGTAACTTTCAAACCAGGTGGACTATTGGACTGCATAAGAAAAGCCCTCTCTCAAGAAGGAAGGAAGGAAGGAAGGAAGGAAGGAAGGAAGGGAGGGAGGGAGGGACTGGAGGGAGGGAGGGGGGGGAAGGAGGGAGGGGAGGGGGGGAGGGAAAGAAGGAGAGAAGGAAAGGGATTCCAAACAGACCAGATATTAAATATATTAAACTATCTAACTTAAACTAGGGAAAATTTTTTTAAAAAATAATTTAAAATCCCAAACAACAGTTCAGGAAAGAGGAAAAAATGGATAAAATCAAATTATTGCAAGTAAGCTTTTGCTCGTGATATTTTTGGTCGTGCAAAGACCAAAAGAAAAAAAAGACAAAACTGGGGAGAAAAAAAAAAACATGACTGTAACTTGTTTCACACAATAAAGGTAAACTTGCATAACATATCAAATAAATACTCAGGAAAATTCTAAGCCAGGTACACGGGTACAGACCTGTAGTCCAGGCACTTGGGAGGGTCAGGTAGGAGGGTGACTCTGGCTCAGAAAAAAACGGACAGCAGAGCAGAAGGAAGAGAAGGGGAAGAGGAGGGAGTGTCCTCACATAAACAAAACACTAGCACGGTACCTGAAGCCTTACAACTGGACCAGAGGCCATTAGCCCCTCTGACATTAGCTTGAGATAAACCAAGAACATACAGGCTTCATACAGGCTTACCCAGGCACCAGTGGTTCATACGAATCCTAGCTACTTGGGAGGCTGAGATTGGAAGGGTCAGTGGTGGAGGTCAGCCTGAGGCTGAGATCCTAAGGATCGTGGTTCAAGGCCAGCTCAGGCAAAGATATTCATGAGAAAAAGCTGCAGTTCAGGTATGGGCCCAGGAAAACAAGAGACATGCTGTCCAAATAACCAGGGCAAAAAAGGGCAGAGGGAATGGCTAGTGGTAGAGTGCCTGCCTGGCACAAAGTAAAAATAAAAACTCTGGCTTAGGTGGGCTCTCATTCCCTGACCACCGTGTAAGCTCTTTTAACAGAAGCCATGAGGATCTGCGGGTCTTGCTGACACCTCGTGACCTCACTTCTGCTAGTGAATCCCCATTATACACTTCCAAATGCATAGTATGTGTAAAATGTCTCTGAAGATTGGCTTTCATGCAAGGTAAGATGATTAGGTTAAATCATTAAGAAG